TCCTGTATGACTATTGCAGTCTATATGCTTAGTCACTAGAGCTATAAATAGTCTAATTCCTACTATTTTTTTAACCAGCAACATTCATGAGCCACTTTCACAGGAAGATCATTCTGAAAGAATTAACAACAGCTTGAACACATGGCTGGTTGAAATAGTAGTTGTTAAAATTTACAAAAATGTATCAGCTGGTTTCTGAAAAAAATAATAAAAAATATTTCTTGGAATTGCAGCCCTGAGCTCCCACAAAGAAGTTTAGCTTTTAGTGGTTGGTGTGGGAGGCAATGGTAGGAAGGAGCTGGTAACAATTACTAGTCAAAGTTTCAGCCCTATGCCTAGTCTGTCTTTTTCTGGGACTCACCAGAAGTATTCTTTACTGCAAAATCTGTTAACAATAATGACACAGTTCTGCAGAAAGCACCCTGGTAATCATATCAGATTCCCATGGTTTCTGCTGGGAACAGTTCTTAACACAGCAGAAAGGAGCCTCTCTTAACCCTGTGCTCACTGCATTATTCTCAGCATGTCACCGATGATATCACACTTCAGATACATTGTGCTTTTACCAGAAACCATAAAGAAACTCAAAAGACTATGAAACAGTCTGGTCTAAAACTAATTGAGGAAATAATTGGAAAAAGACTAATGTTAACTTCTGAAGGATTCTTTTCAGCCTGAAGTGCATGACTCCTTCCTCTCTTTTCTGAAAAATGGTGAATTTGAAAGGGACCCAAACCTAAATTCCAGTTCCAAATTCTTCACATATTTTAAGGATGTACTCACTGAAGTCTGAATTGTGCAGCTGACCCCACACTAATGGCTGAATCAAGCACCTCATTTGCAGGCACCTTAAGGGCATAGGTTATTTGTGCCTTTTTAAAAAATTAACCTATTTGAGTGCCATACATATAGTGCACCAGGGTGAGGGAGGGGGAAAGCCACTTGTAAATTAGAAAGTTTAACCAATGGTTTGCCTGCGATTAAAAGCAGAAAATTCAAGTCAGTAACATTTCAGTTTTGGTTACCTAAACCTAAAGTTTTTATTACAGAACTAAACATTATTTGGGTTCAGCTTGTTTAAATGAAACCCTCAGTTTTAGGCAAAAGACATCTCTTCATTCCTTCCTTTTTAAATAAGAAGAAATATTTTCCTAGGCAGGTAACATAGTAAAATATCTGAAGAGATATTGTTAATGTTTAAACATCAGTTTGAATTTTCTGTGGTTTTTTTTTTTTGCTGAGAGATATTAGTTAAATGATCTTCACAGTGACAGAGAAATAATTCCATTTTTAGGGAACAGTTTCTCTCAAATCTGTTTTAGTTTCACACACATTTTAAGAAGTAACTCCTCTCCCTAGGCACTGCAGGCTTGACTCACGTACTATGATGATCAGCGGAAAGCACTCCGTGTGCTCACAGATGTTTTCTGAGACACATGTTGAAACTGGTATGAAATGCCTTATAAGGTGTTGCTCTGGCTTGGCCTTCAGCATATTATTCTGAGATGTTTTTGCATGATTTATATGAAATAAAAAGTTAAGTAATCCAAAACCTGCAGATCGACAATGAGGAAAAGACTTGCAGGGTTTAAGTGATGTGGGGGTTTAAACAGATAGACTACAAAAATAGCCATCAATAGTCTCCAGTGACATGCCTTAATATGCTTCCTTATCCTTGGGCCTTTATTATTTCACTTAATGAAAATAATAAAGATTTCAGAGAATAAACAGAGTCACAGGTTCAGCCTAGAGAAGAGACTGACAGGGGACCTCATTGCAGTCTAACATCATTATGAGGGGAAGCAGAGGGACCGATACTGATCTCTTCACTCTTGTAACGAGTGACAGGACTCAAGGAAACGTTATGAAGTTGAGTCAGGAGAGGTTTCAGTTGGATATCAGGAAAAGTTCATGTGGAACACAGGAATATGCCAGAGTTCACAAATCCCTCAGCGCTTAATCGCTTTTCACATTTACGCTCTCTTGCCCTTTTGCTGATTAGAGTTGTTTAGCTGAATTCCTGTTCACCTTCTCCCCTCTAATCTCTGGGTTCTGGGATCATTCCCCCTGCCCTCCAGTCTGTCTTGTCCACTCAATTCAGTGTTTCTTCTTCTCCTCTACTCTCACCCCCTCTGAGCAGATTCCCCTCCCAGTAGAATTTCATCCCTGCTCCTAAGCATTCATGATCCACCTCTACCTTCCCCCTGCTCAAGTTCTCTCTAGCTTGCTTGCTCAGATAGTAAGTTTTCCGGGTAGATAATATTTTATTTTCAGTTTGTACTGTACCTATAGAACAGTTAAGATCCCTAAATTACCTGTTCTAGAGACACACACATAAGTAGTTACTCAAAGAGCTAAAATACAGCTACTGAATTGAATAGCTGTAGGCATGACAGAGTATTTGATTTCTCCCACTTTTTTTTTAATGTGCTCCCTTTCCCTCTTAGTAGGAATCTTTAGTCACAAAGCAGCTTCTAGAATGACATGACTGTAATGCAACTAAGTCTAGCTAACAGGAAAACTTTTACTTCAAATACTTTCAGATTTAACACAGCAGTCCAAAAACCTCATACCTATTTTTCAGTTACCTTCAATGCTCCTGGCTAAGAACATGCCTCGCCAAGTTTTATCAAAATATTTGTGTATAAATTTACTGGGAAGTATTTATCGTATTTTACACTATATAGTTACGAGAAACCCCAGTACGTTTTTCTATCCTGGTTCCATTTTCAGCAAAATTTGCTACAGTTCTTATAATGTTCACTGATATTCTTCAGGGATACTGGCAGCCAGACAATGGGGAGCATGAAATGTCTATAGACCAGGTAGTTTTCAGGATCAGTTTTGAACATAGTTGCATATGGTTATCATTGACAGAGAAAGAGTTGTTCAACCTCTCCATATTAAGAGACACACCCACTGATAAAGGAGACACTATCTGACTAGTAATTTGAAAAGCAGGAAATTACCCTTCATGTGACAGCACTTTAATGTGAAAAACTCTGAGTATCTGTGTCGGTTTTAACAGTTCACCACTTCGCCATTGTCAGCATGTGTTCTATGGAGCCATGCCACTGCCTCTACCATTGGCTTTAAAGCATTTTAATTCTGAAATTTCAAGCACTAAATTAGAAAGGAAAAGTGTATCTTCATCAACGATTCCATTTGTTCCAGTAGAAAAGATAATGAGAATGTTATTATAGCATCTAACACAGAGAGTCATTGAGGATGAGGATGCAAGTGAGTTGAAAAGACCCAATGGAGTCTCCTGACTTTATTTATTTCCTTGCTCTTGATTCAAATTAAAGTGCCTATACCAGTCCCACTTTTGATTAGTCACTTCACACCAGCATCAGAGCTGAACTTCACAGAAGAGGCATATAACTTAAGCACTACAGTTTGGTCCATTGTGTTAGAGGATCCAACTATGTGCTCCTCTGTTTCTTCAGATGTGCTCTTCTCAGCTGCTCACTCATTTCCTCAGATACAGTGAAATACCCAGGTTGCCCAATAAGTTCCTCTGATATAATGTTATTCTATGGAAGCTTGTAGTCAACCTTTTAGGCTGACTATTTTCCAGTCCCTTTCTTTATAGGCAGAGGTGTTACTCATTGCTTCCCACTGCTCTGCTCCAGGGTGTTGCCAAGCTAGTTTGTAGTAATGCCATATTTTGGAAGACAGCTGTACAGATCCCAACACCCTCTTCATTCCATAATGTTTTTACAAAGAGTGCTTCATTATTCCCATTCCCGCCATGCCTGGAAACAGGTGCATGCAAAATCAGGCTTCCCCTCTCAACACTGCAATATCTGCTGACCATGCTCGTAAACTTCATCCACTGCCAAAAAGCTACCAGTGCTTCCAGGGCAGTAAACCCTGAAATCTGTGAGTTCACCTTTCACCTGACAGGAAACCACATGTCTAACCAGCAGTAGAACTATTTTCTTTCTTTAAGTTTTTAGGTTTCTCAGAAACCACAGGGTGTACAGACACTGAATTGTTTCAGTTATCTCATTCTCAGGTGCAACGCCCATTGTCTCTGAAGAACACCAGTGTACATTATAAGTTTCTATGCAGTCTCTAGGAGAGGCATATTGAAAAGTCCTGTGACTGGATGAAGAACAGCTGCCTATTTGCCTGGGAAAGGGGAGCTCTTCATCCTGAGAGTAACTGGACATGCTCAGAGTGGAAAAACTCCTAGGGTACAGCCTGAGGCAGCCAGAGGGAGACATTAAATGAGAAATTGTACAGACTGGGAGACTGCTGTGAGAAGGGGATTCATCTGCTGCAGGGAGCAACTCTAGTGCCAATGTGGGTAGGAGGCAGCTTTGACTGCAATAACATGCGAGGTAGGAGTGGATCTGTTCAAATGGTCCTGTAGACGAGATATCTACAGTGGTTTTACTACAGATACATTCTAGTCTAGTCCTGGGACCAAAAAGCCCAACTGTAGTTGAAAGACATGAAGTGTCCGGGAGCAAATCAGTTCCATCTGAAGGGAGTCCAGTTTGTGTGCTCTGAGTTTGCAATACATTTGTTTACAAGTCATCTTTTTAGACTCTTATGCCCAGCAGAGCAGTGTTTCTTATTATTAAAGATTCACACTTTTATGGTGTATTATTTGTGTATTCTCATTATATACAATTCTAATGATCTACAACCCATCTGAAAGGAAAAGGCATATGTGGAATGGTAGGGCCTCAGTTCCTCCTCACATCTTTGACTGACACAGCTCAATATTGTGTCATGTTATTTCTATAACCATAAGGATGTGCTGTAGTTTACTGAAAAGATAAGACTACAGACTGTAACGAAGTGGATTTGTCTATCACCTGAAGAATAGCCATGTTGTCCTTTCCTTAATGAACCAGTACCCCAGGAATTCCGAGCTGCCACATATGTAACAATATTCAAGATCTATTCCTCTGCATTACTAAACTTGCAAACATAAAGAAAGTGCTTTTAGTATTAATAATAAATTCCTGACCTTTTTTGTGCAGTCAGCTTCTCACCATTCATTCTGGGATGTGATGATAAAAGAAGGAAATGAGAAATGGAAATTCTGGCACTGAAAGGCAAGCTCAGAGTAGACTGAGAGGGAAGTATCTGTATATCCTGACTATTGAAGATGTGTATTGTAGGAAAGCAGTGTCAAAAATCTTCTCCATGAATTCATATCTGAGGATAAGAGAGTTTTCAGCTTATGTTCTTTTTAACAGTACAAGATGTGAACTAACTTGTTTAATTAAAAGAATACAAATGCATTTCTAAAAATTTTTAAATCAGTATGTGTTTATCTGATTCCATTTTTACAGTGAAACAACTTTGACTCCTTCATTATGACTTTCTTTTCGATCTCAGTCACTTATGAAGGAAAGAGAAACAAGCTGTATTGCAGTTTAAAAGCTTCTGTCATCAGTAATAGAAGACTCCAGCAACCGGAGTATTAACTCCCAAATTTGGTCTCCTGTTAACACTGCATCAGTACTTGAGCCTTGTTGCCCTTGCACAGCCAATTTGATCACATGAATACAAAAGGTGGGATCTGAGAAGATAAGGTTCCTAATCACCTTGTATTTGCATAGACTGGTCTTAAGATATCCCATCTAGGTTGCAACTCCCTCCTCCTGCCCTGCCAGATTTTATGACTGACCCAAATTCTGAACTCCACGGTTTTTCCAAGCAATGCTACAGTTCACCTGCTTGTTTCTAGATACACAATCATGATAAATTGTATCTTTCTGAGGTCTATTCAAAGCAGAACTCATAACCTCTGTCACAAGGTCTCTGATAACAAACATTAAGGTGGACAAAGCAATATGGGAGCGTACTGAGAAACGTGAGGAGAATTTGAAGCTAACTGTTCTTCTAAACTTTGCAGAAACATTCTTCTCTCTGGTACCTGTACACTACCACATCACCTGCCATTTCTTAAGAATGCAAGTACACTCACCCATGGCCAGGTACGTTAGGTAAAATTAGATTTCTCGTGCCAGCAAATGTTTAGGTAATACAACTGTCAGATATTTTTGACTTTTTTGTGATTTCCTTTTGGCAAAGACTGTACTGATGGGAGAGCATATCAGCAAAAGGAATTTCAAATTATCAAGTCCCTTGTGGTTTGACTGCACAGTAGGCTACATATTTTGGCGTGAATTTAACAAGCACAGAAATAGAATGCTCTCTCAGCAATTGTATAGCATGCCATACAATATTCAGCAAAACAACACAAAAAGATTGAGAGGATACCTAGATAAACCCATAAGCTACAATTCTTCAATTTTCCCAAAGGATACAAATGCCTATTTCCCATTAAATTAACTAGTATGGATTTTCCATATCCCACATATAGCTTTGGCCTGTAAATGTTTTTAGAGTCCCTATAGGAATGGCTTGTGAGATCCCCTGCTCAGTGGTTTCCGCAATACATTTTTTAATTTATTTTTTCTTGAGCAAAGAGTCAATAATTGAGAATGCTACAGACATGAGCTACTTCTGTTAAGGCTATTATTGGGATTATACTGTCACAGATGTAAGTAAAGAGAATAAAAGTTTCTGGTAATGCACAATACAGTAGTACCCAGCTCCTACTTTTAGATGTTCATGGGGAAAACAAGAAAAAGGAAAAAACCCAAATCAAGAAAACAAACAGAAAAAAACCCAAAAAACACACCAAAAAGCCCAGTAAGATATACTTCTGACAGAGCAAAAATTTTAAAAATCCACGCTTATTAAAAAAAGAAAAAAATCAGGACATGCATTAAGTTTCTATTTCATAAAAAGAATTGAATATTCTTCATACTGCTCTCCTTCAGCAGTTAAATTTTCTTCCATGAAACCTTGTAACACAAATTGAAAAATGCATAATGAGTTGTCTAGAAAAATTAATTTTCTGAAAATTTAAAGAACTTCCATTTTATTTTTCTGAGCAGTTCACCCTTCTGTCATGATATTGTGCTGCAGATGTGTCACTTTGTGACCTTTCAGAGTCCTGCAGTTAATTCTGACTTTGTGCTGCTATTTAATAATCTCAACACATATGGAAAAAGCTTGCTGATAATATATTGATAGTTTGGGGGTTTAGTTATGATTGATTCTTTCCTCTTTTTTCTACTTTGTCATTACAGTGTGGCTACAGGAAGAAGAAATTAATTAGATCTATTTCTGTTTACTCTAATGAAGCACACCTGGTCTTAGCAGAGATATACTAGCACAAATAACAATTAAAGCCAGAATAAGTAATTTTGGCAGAAATTAAGCCATTAAAAGAGTTGCTTGTGAACAGGGCATGCTATGATACATTCACGCTAGAGATTTTTCAAAAGCAGAGTTAGACAAAGAATTAATTTGACCAAGAAACTTGACCACGCCAAGAGGAATGGCATTTACTATGTCAATACATACATCAGTCATCAGTATAGGAACCTGATACAACAAACAACTTCAAATGCAGCTGGACTTCATAATCCCTTGAAAAATAAACTGATATGAGCTCATCTGTATGGGTAAAGCAAACCATCAGAGGTCAAGGAGCATTCCACAGAAGCAGTTATGCAAAAGGAACAAATTGTACCCACCTATGAGCAGGCACAGAAAGACAGACTGGAACATTTCCCAAAGTGTAGGGGAAAACTGAGCGGAGGAAAGATAGCAAAGTATAATCAGGCCTTAACCTCTCCAGGATGGTACAAAGAAAAGATTCCTAATGATTTGTCCTTCCTCTTTAATTGATGGGATTCAGGTTGCCCAAGATTGAACAAGTTACTGCCATTTAGAGAAGAGTGACAGTAAGCTGTGAGGAAAAAGAGGTACTAATAAAGCCTAGACCAACACTATATTTTCAACAGAGAGCTGGGATGCCATAGGGCATTACAATTCTAATTCACTAACTTTTTGAACCTTGTTACCTCAGGACTAAGCCTTTCATACTTAGAATCATATAATCATAGAATCAGCCGGGTTGGAAGGGACCTCTGAGATCATCAAGTCCAACCCTTTATCCACTACCACCGTGGTTACTAGACCATGGCACAAAGTGCCATGTCTTCCTGATTAAAATAAACTACTACTAAATTACATTTCCAGGATTTCAGTATTCATCATGAAGCTTTCCACAAGAGAAGTTGTTATTACAATCTGCCTTTTACAACATTTTGACTGATTTGCCCATAAATTGTGAAACTTTTTTATTTGTATATAGTACCTTTGTCAAACAGCACAGGTTTCATTAGATGCGTAGACAGGATGCAAAGATGCATGACTAGAATTTTTTTTCTTTCATCTGAGATTAAGTTACATGAGAGGTGCCAATAAAGCTGTTTCTGCAAAGGAAACAGCCCAGACCAGTTCTAGAGGTTTTAAACTTCCAGCTTAAACAAGTGTCTGAGTAATAGCATCTGCCTCGTAAAGATATTTTGCCATTGTGAATAATCTCAAGCATTATAAAATAATAATAATATTTACATCTAATGTTCTGCTTTGCAGTGACTGTTGAAAATTTGCATCTTATTACTGATCTCTAGGTTGTCTAGTTACAATTACCAAGCACCATCTGACATCATAAGTAGGCTTAAGAGAGTCACCTCTTCTGCAGGCAGCTTCTTTTAGGATAGCAGGAGTTGTTTCTTGGTCTCCGCATCAACAAGAAAACAGGGACAATTAATTTGTTATTGAACTAAGGAAGGTATGTTTTTCTATTCTGAAATTATTCTGTTATTTTACTAAGTATTTCTGTTACTACACTTAAAAGAAACAGTAAACTCTCCATTTATTGCTTATTGTTTCTAAAAGTGACACTGGATAGTGACGAAAACCAAATGGGATAGTTGAGTAATTAAAGAAAATAGAACAACTGGAAGAGATCATAATTTTTCTGATTCTGTGAGTCAAATCAGTTCATGTGTCCAGCCAGGAAAGAGACTGAAGGTATTACAAAACACAATGCTTTATTATTTTTCCTTTTACTCTTCAGATGGAAGGAAGGACTACAATTATTTCTCTTGTAATCACTAGCATTAATTGTGTCTCTAGTGCAGTACCAAAACATTTTAAATGTGAGTTGGTGCTACCATGATCTGATCTATGGTGACTCAACTCTGGGAGCTAAGCTAGTAGAAAACCATTATTTTATATTATCAGTTTTCTGGCAGTTTCACTGTCAAGCTGTTATGCAAAATGCTTATGCCAAAACATATAAGGAAATAGGGCTGTAGCAAAACTAAATTACCTTGGCTGAAGTAATTCTGGAGCTGCACTTTCACTGTAGGATTGATCTGATTCTAACATCTGCAAATGAAAGCATCTCCTATGAATCTATTTACTTTGTGCAACAAGAATGCCCTTGCAGATGACAATGATTTATACTCAGACTTCTAGGTTCTTTTCAGCAAGACACAGCCAGCAAACAGCTAGAGATGTGTGAGTTAACTCTAAGTTTGCTTCTCAGTGTATATGTAGCAATGATGTTATAGAACTAAAGAAACGTAGCATATTAGGAAAGTTCCAAACTTAAGAAAAAAAGCTATGTCAAAATTATTTTTTAATGGTGTCAGGGATGAAGGTAACATTCAACTTTGCAGCGGCAGCAAAGAAGATTCCAAGAGTGAATCGGTGAGGGACTAGTCATGTTTGAACAGTCTTGGTGCAGTACATGGGGTCTTTGGAGCATGCTAGGAGTTGTCAGGGGAGTGACACAGGCTAAGACAGCTCCACCAGGCTGGAGGTCGAGGTATTGTTCTAGACTCACAATGAACAGTATAACTGTGGAGATGGCTGTGGCCCTGTGACTGAATGGGGGCTCTAGGGTTCTCACCTCTGCCTTGCTGCCTCCCAACATCTTCCTCCTCTCCAGACCACAGTGCAGGACTTTTCCCCAGCCCAGCCTACTATCTTATCACCCACCCTGTCTCCCCCCTGTAACACATCACCCATTGGTGCCCCAGGCCCTGCTCAGCTCTGCTGCGCTTCCTCCACTGGCTCCTTCCACCACTAACAGCATGTGAGACACCATGGGAAGCAAGGATCTCTTCCAGCAGTGCTAAAGCTTGTGATTATATTTGAGATGGCTCTTTATGCAACCAGTGCAACCAGAACAGTGCAACCAGCTCAGAGAGGTGTCACACACCATCA